AGTTCTAAAAATATTGTTATTAATAGCGTACTTTTTCTTTTGGTTTCATTTTGTAATACTATTTTATTTTTTTAATATTATGAAGGTTATTGCGGATTATTTTATTCATTTTTCTATTTATTGCAATTTCATTTTTAAACTTCAAACACTTAAGAATATTTTTCATTGCAGTAAAAATACTTAATGTAAAATTTTTTTTAAATTTTAGCAAAAAAATCAGTAGTCATTCATTAACACTACATGTGGTTTAGATAACAAGAAAATTGAGCGGCCTAACTGAGAAAAAAAATAAATAGCTACTACACAATAAACCTTTTTAATTTAGAAAAGTTTCCTCGCCCAATCTGAACAGCAATAGAAGAGTAAATTTTTATTTTTCACACTTATTCATTGAATAGAGAGTGCGGTGCAATTTTCAAATTCGATAATTAATTTATCACTTTTTTTTTGTTTTGCAAGATAGTTGTAATGAATGTTAAGTAAAAAACTAGAGATGATAATTTTGAATGCTTAACATTAGTAAAAATGGTGAGAAAACAAAGCAAATGAATTTAAAATTTAAAAAACAAATAAAATTATTTTTTTTTTAGTTTTCTTTAGAATTCACATTTAATAGGTTCGTTGAATTCTTATTGGACTTGAAATCCTTACATAATTAGAAACTTAAAATATTTTATAAATGGATTTTAAATTTTCAATAATTTTCATTTAATTGTTTTTGTTATATTTGTGAGATGGATATGTGTAGAAGAAAAAATAGTGTACAATCGAATAAAATTGCATTATTTGGTGGTTACTGTGAATTATGTTCAATAGTGAGTATAATAAGCTATTCAATTTTAAAAAATATATGTGTGAATGTATATAAAACATTGTTTGAAATAACATGGGAGCTATATGGCTTTACATAAATCAGTCATAAAACAGTTCATTCTATAGCAGTAGCTTATGTAAAAATTGGTTTAAACGTAATTAAATTTTATTCTGAACGAGGATGACTGGTAATAAAAAATTTTGACTTCACTATACATTCAAAAATACTTTCTTAATAGAATTATTCAATTTTCGTTTTCTTCTTTCTCGTATGATTCAATTACAATTATCTCTTATATTTCAATAAACCATGAAAACAATGGGATTATTAATGAAAAAGAAACACCAATATTGCTTTTTTACTTAACTTCTTTAAAACTCTGAATAATTTCTGCACTGTACTAATTTAAATATTATTATTTATTTTAATTTCAGCTGTAAAATGAAATTATTTTATCTGAAAATATTTGTGATCTATAAATAGATGTCTACGGTCTTACGTAGACATAAAGAAATGTATAATTTGCCAATTATAATATTGAAAAAAAATTAACAAAGTAATTGTTTTCTCATTTAAAAATATTAAGAATATTTTTGCGGAAATATGAAAAAATATGAAATGATGCCGTTTATTCATTATAAAAGTTAAGCATCTGTTATATTTTATTTACATAAGTGACACGCGAGTGTTACCGTTCACATAAGTTTATATGAAAATACTATTTATTACCCGAATTCGGAACGAAAATATCACAATATAGCCCTAAAAAAGCGATACAATTTACCAAATGTTGTCCGTAAATATTTATTGAACCATTACATTGACTCGAATTCGATCTCCAAAAAATTGCATATAATTAGGAGCAATGCTTTTTTTTATTTCATAATATCCTTCAAAATTTCAAGGACTAGATTATAGAAAACATAATTATTTTTTGAATAACAAAAATTTCAAATTTTAATTTTCTATTTCAAATGTCCTTAATTTTATTAACAATATCTTAATATAACAGTTTTTATAACCATAAAGAATTAATCATATACGTATAAGAAATATCAAAATAATTCTCTCATTTTTAAATATTTTACTTTTATATTTAGATGTATCTATACTACACCTTAATATTCGATTTTATACTTATATACAAACACATATAAAAGTCAATTGATATTTCTATTATACTCATATGGAGTTATTTATATTACACAGTTGTGAAAGTCAACAATGTATTTAACAACAAATTCCCTAGTTGAAAATGAATTATATTTTTTTTTATTACTCTTTTCAAAATTAAATGTTCTATAAAATTTTTAAAATATTAGAAATTCTTAAGTAAAATTATAATATGAATTTTTTTAACTAAAACAAATTAAAGTGACCAGACCATCATTTCAATTTAAAAGTAAATGGAAGGAACTTTTTTAAAATCAATTAAGTGAAGCAAAGACAAAGTAACATAAAATAAAGAACTACTCCGATTTTACTCGAGCACTCGTAATTATACTTGGACAATAACAAAACAATCTTTTGAAAAATAATTATTTTAATTTAAATGTTTTAATGTGACAGACAACACAAATTATTTAAATTTTAGGGGAAAATTCAAATAACTTGTGTTGTTACTCTTTCCTAGTTTTTTTCCCGTAATAATTAACTAAGTGACTCCATAAAACTCTCACACTAATCATACTGTATATTTTCTATTAACTTTCCGCACAACTCCTTTATACTCGTTAATCAGTGCATATAATGTTTATTTTAACATAAAATCTGATAGTCGCAATTGATGCTGATTTTGCTTGTCTTGCAGTCTCGCATTGCCATTGAAGGAGTCATTCCTTTCTCGTCTGTATAAAAAAAAAAAATTCGCATTACTTTATCATTGAAAACTAAACAAAGCTGGCTATATTTAAATGCTCTAACACGAATACTAATTTAAAATTATTTCCTTACAACATAATACATTCAAAAAACAACACACTGGCACAATGTGTGTAGTAGTTTTTTTCATAATATTACAAAAAAATATTTAATATGCTAATGTCCATATAGTTTAAAAATGAACACTATATTATTAAATTGTTTAAAAAAGAACCTTTTCGATTATAATTATCTTTAGTATTTTAAAATCCATACATAGATATTTATACTACCATTTTAATATTATAACATTAAGTTATGACGGGAGGGAAAAAATCAATTTGTGGTATATAAAAAACTTGAAAATAATATGAAATGCCGCAGAACATTAAAATTATAAATTTCAATTAAATATTTTAATATGAGTCAAATATTTTGTATGGTACCAACAGATAGGTGATACTTATTATAGTTCATTTTTGACTTTTACCGGTAATAGCAAAGAATAATTTATTTCTTCTAACAATGGCAGGACATTTAAAATATTCAAATCTTTTAATTAAAACTCTCTAGTCGGTACTGTAATATAAAAATAATGTAAAGTTTTTGTGTAATTTCAAGGTAGTGTATATACAAGTAGTGCAGTCTAAATATAATAATTAATGTGAAATTATTGCCGAAAAAATTAAATTTCTTATAATACTTATTAAAATATTCGTACAGGGCTAGTTTAAATGCTTAACAATCGAAAAAAAAATTAAAAACCTTTTAAAAATTTAGATGAATAATTTTTACTTTTCTGTCTTTTTCTAAATACGTATACATATTTACATTACATTAAAATATATCAAGTCTCCGAAGACCAAAAAGTCTCATATTGATTTGCAGCATACATACGTACATATGTAAATATTAATTCGTAATAAGAAATTCAACTTTTCGTTACCTGAAATGTACACGTTACTAAACGAGTTTATTTTACAATTTTTAAGGAATAAACAATAAGAAATATTTATAAACAAAAAAAATTAGTTGTACCTGTCTCCTCGTGAGTGAATTATTATAGCGCTGAATTTTGAGAACTTTATCACGAATTAAAAAAAAAATCGGATTTTGATATTGAATTGAACTTTTTAGAAAATTTATACATCGATTGGTTGATTTATTGACGTGGCAGGCGCAGCGGTTTCCCAGCACCTCAATTAGCATAAATGTGCCGTTTCGCTACCAATACCTCGTGATCACCACCTGGTGGCCTATCTAAGCCACCCAGTTCTCTTATCTAAATTTATCTAAATCTCCAATACCAATCTTCGAAATCAAAGATATTGTCCACGGCCCATCCGATTTCCTACGGTTTTATTTAACGACGTGAAACTGTTAAATAAAAAAAGTATTGACAGAATAAATGAGAAAATTAATTTTATTTACAAAAATTGCTTGTATAACAAAAATTGCATGTTATACAAAAAGAACCATTATTTTTTAAGTATCAATTGGTTTACTACCGAATTGGTGGTATTTTAAAATATTGTGCTTCATAATACCACTTCCGTACAAAATGCTCAGTATAAATAATTTAGCAAAAATAAATACAAAACAAAAAAAAATTAAAATTTATTTTTTTTTTTGAAAACATATGTGCATACAAAACAAAAATAGTATAAGCGCTTAGTACACATTTTATTACTAAAATATTCACTTTTACATACATGTGTACACTAAAACAAAATATGAACATGTGCACGGAATTGGTTTTATACAATGTGGGTATATTTGCACTTATAATAGGTGATTTTATTTTATTCTTTTGTAGTATTTTATAATAATACATATTTTAAAATAAAAAAAAAAACATTAAAAGTTCTTTTAAAAACTACATACAATTATACAAATTTATGCCGTCTATTGTTATTCATATTATTATTAATATTCATAGGCATACATACATATGTATATGCACCAGCATTTAAGAATATTTCTTGTACTAAAATTTCCCCAAAACTCTCCCCGATTTATTCATTCATTCTCATTATACTATCGCATATATGCACATATACTATACAACAAACAAGTAAAATTAATAGATTTTAAAATATTTATATAGGTAGGAGATACAAAATCAAATAAACTATATAAATTCTCTTCTCCCTAAATAAAAATGAGCAAATTGAATAAAATTTTTGTTATGGTTTTCGATGTGTCGAGTCAGTCGTTCGGTCGAATGAAAATTATTTTTTTTTTTTAGCACAAACAAAAATTTTCTTTTTTATTTTAGTTTTGCATTAACAAGCGAACTGATAGCAAGCAATTGTAATAAAAATTCTAACTCTTTACTTATAAATTGAAAATAATTGTTTTATATACTCGTGATTTATAATAAAAAAAATAATAATAATAAAAATAAACTGATAACATAAAATATGAGTTTTTATATGTGAAAATTAAATTAAATTCAAAAATTTTTAAAATTCTAATAAAAAAATAAAAAGTGCGATTACAATTTTAATTTAATAAAACATAAAAATAAATTTTGCTGTGATCTTATAATTTTTTGTAGCGTGTTTAAATTTCAATTTCTCCTCTCTCTCTCTCTTTTGTTTCTGATCTCTTGCTTGATCAATTTTATTACCGCATACCAACAACCACAATAAAAATATATTTTTATCTCTTTACACCTGGAATTTTACCTGGAATTTTTACTTGACAATACTATCGTATTTTATGAAAATATCAATCACAATACATTAAAAATTCTATTATACTATTTAGTAAAACTAATTTTTGTCTCTTGTAAATTATAATATTGGCATTTTAGATACTAAAAAATTTACATCAATTCAAAATTAGTTTATATTATTAAAGAGAAAATTTGAGAAATTCAAAGATAAAAAATTGCACATTTTATTTTCCAAAAAATAATTATAGTTTTTAGGAAAGTTAATTAAATAGACCAAATAATTTGTAAAACGCAATGGTTCAGAGCGTTTAACAGTTTATTGTACATAATATAAAATTTATTATTTAATAATTGAACTGCTTTGTAAGTTTGAAAATAAAAGACCCATAGGCAAATTTATACCATAATAACATTTTACATATAGAATAAATAGAATTGCAAATAGACACTATTATAATCACTTATATATAAATCGATAATTACATTATTTTTTTAACTTATTTCTTTTATAAGTGTGCATGTATGTGAAACACTTCGGGCATATGATTTTCATCACAAGGAATTTTAATTAAATTTAAACAGAAAATATAATTGTGATTTATGCAAGATAATCGTCCTTGAATATGATCTCTCAGAAAAGCATCAAAAAGATTCGAAAATTCTTTTTTAGATGCGTAATCTTTAATATTATTGCTACATATGAATATGCTATAAATGAGTACAGACATAAATAGTTCTGTTTAAGATGAATTTATTGAATAAAATAATTAAATATGTATATACTATCAGCTATCGAGATTTTCAATGTTCTCAGACACGGGAAAAATATGTATATGTTAATTTTAACTTTTAAATTCTGCTAAACAAAGACCTCATTAACGCCCAATATTTTTTTAAATTCAATATTTAAAGAACACATATAATTGCACTTTCTTAATCATAAAGTGACAATTTCATTCTAAAATTGTGCCAACTATAATTGAGAACTTAAATCAATATCTGATATTCAACATATTGATTAGTTTAATATTTTTAATTTTTGGAGTATAGAACTTAGAATTTGTATAGAAATCAAAACTTTAATCGAATTTCGAAACTTAGTGGTCATTTTTTTATGATTCTTCTTTAATTAATTCGAGTATATTAAAAAATTTTCGGAAATATTTCAACTTAAATTAATTATTAAAATTACTTTCTAAATTTAAAGATATCAAATAAAAATTTCAAAATATTTGCTATCTGTAGTTCATGCCTACAGTATAATAGATAAAGTATATACCAGTTTAGTCTATTATCGTTCACAATAATATAACTTATGCATGCACTTAAATTTATCCATATAGCTACTGAAAATATTTTTGAAGAAATTATCAAAAAATATTAAAAAATTTGTAATGATTTTCTTTGTTATTTAATTTTATTAAAAAAAAACATAATAGCACGTTTATATAGTATATCAATATGTTAATAGAATTAAAGTATATTATGTACAATCACACAAAATATTATGTGCAAATATTTTCTTTTATACTAGTATAATATTATTATAAAAAGTACAATAACGTATTGCCATGAATTAAAATAAATGATTTTTATTTTTGCAAATTTTCTTTTGCATTAAATGCATATTTTTTATATACACTACACATATATGCACATATGTGTGCATAAATAAATATATATTAAAATCGTAAATGGAATCCACAAACAAGTATTGTTCTATACCGAAAATATAAACTTTTAAAACTGGATTTTTTTATACAAATTTTATTATATGCATTAGTTAATGAAAAATAAAACTTTAATTTTGACTTCTTGTTCTAAATATTAGAAACTTGTATATATAGTTTATATTAAGTACCCATAGCAATTTTTAATCTATTTCATTTGTAATCAATTATTTGTAAATAAATGTAAAAATGTTATCAGCTTTCCAAATGTATAACTTTTAAATAATATAGCAATTTTTCGTATAACCGCGCGAATTCCAAATTTTCCAACATAATTACGTATACATACGTATTCCACAATATACGATTATTTTAGTAGCAGTTAGCATTGAGTTGCAATTTTCATACAATGTATATATAAGGCTTTAATGTCGTTGTAATTCTTCTGTTCTATTCTACTGTTCAACGTCCTGATAGATTTTCATTTTATGTGTGATACTCACTCAAATATTTTACACTCTTATACATACTTTCATTTTTATTTAAAAAACAACGTACGTAACACCCTGTTTATTATAAAAATTATTTCTATATAAAATATTATTCGATTTTGAAAGCATTTATAATTCATATTATCGTAATATGATCGTAATATGATGAGATTCCCCTTTATTCTCTTCTAGTTCAGTGCTGTTATATACCTAATATAACAGTTTATAAAATTATAATAAACTGTGCAATAAGCATAATAATTTTTAAGAATTTTTTAAAATTCGATTCTTTAATTAAATTAATTACATGAGAAAATATTTATATATTATATGAATATATATTATATATATATATACCCAAACCATATTAAATACCTAGATATATAGAATTTTGCAATGTAGTGAGATTTTTTTTTATCGTAAATAAATCGTTAAAATCGTTACGTTTTGTTTCCTTTTGATTCACAAGCTGTGTTTGTTTTCATTTTCCTCCTTTTTTTGCGGTTAAAACTAATTATTGGCATTGAAACAAATTGAAAAATAAAAATAATTTTTAAATAAATAATTAAATTTTCTCTACTTACACACGCATATTTAAATTTTTATATGTTTAAAAATTAATTTGATAATCGCATTTTAATCTTCTAAATAGAATTTAGGTACGTCTACATATTTAATATTGAAAATTGGTCGAATTTTGGAAAATTGGAATTTGCAAAAAAATAAATAAAAATATTTTGAATAAATACGTAAAAAAAAGAAAATATTTTTGTATATAAAATGTGAAATCGTATGCGAATTAATAAAAAAAAAATAAGCAATAAGAATAAAAATATTCCATAAGAAAACAACGTAAGACAATAAAAAATAATCAAAAACAAAGAAAAATTAAAAATAAAATGAGATAGTGAGATCGTATAGCAGTGAAAATTCACGTGAAATTATTTATGCTTGAAAAAAAAAATACAAAACAAAATAAGTTTTCCTGCCTCCTCTCTCTCACCAGCAGCACAACTTTCTTCGCATTAGAATTTACCATAAGTTTTATCAATAGTAAAAATACATAATTAGCAGCTATAGCGTACCTACATACACACTCCACTAAATATTTATAAATGAAAATATTTTTATTTGGCAAATAAAATTGGATTTTCTTACTTATACCCACATATTTTATTTAAAATATTAAATATTTACTAAACAAAATTATTATATGTATGTACGTATTGTATATGTACGAATTTGCAATATAATCTTTCATGAGTTAATAATAACAAAATAATATATTCCGGCAACATAAGCAATATAAAAATTTTAAATAAAAAAAAAAACAGTATTAAAAAATGAAAATTCATATTATGAAAAAAAATAAACCATCAACAATAGAAAAAGATGAACCAGATGAATTAGATACAAGGAGTGTAAGTATGAATAGAAAAATTTGAGAAAATTTAATGCATACATACATCTATTATGATATTATTATATAACAATGATTCAGCTACCTTATACTAAAACAGAGTCGAGTCAAAATTGATGTCTCAGCTTTACATTGTAGGAATTAAAAATTGGTAGTATATATACGGTCTAAGACATATTTATTCTCATTGGGTTCTAATTTCAACTGTACTAATTTTTGTACTTTCTTTTTAAGTAAAACTAACAATAAAAATTAAAATTTTTGTTTAATCTTTTAAAAAATTATTAATATTAGCTGGTGAAATGCCACACAAATTACACATTTGCTTAAATATAAAGAGAAAAAATTTTTAATTTTTATTAATTTTTAAAATTTTAAGCTAAGGCCATTGGTATTATATATAATTTCAAGACTATGTCTTTGAAAATTTAAAACTGTCCATGCAGAAAATTTTTAAGTCGTACAAGATGTATCGTATTTAAATTCACTGTTACCATTGCATATAGACCCTATTGAATAGACAAAATTTTTTTATAAAGACAGTGATCACAGCTCAACATAATCCAAGTTACAGAAACTTAAAATCAATCTCAATTGTTTTTTTCTACATTTTAAAATTTTAGGTATAATTCCGTTCCTATGTCAGATAAGCGCATTATTAAATATGATTTAGACATCTCAGATCAAGGGCATTATCGTGAATATCTACATTCTTTTATAATTTTCATATTTCGAAATCACATAACTTTAAAATTCGATAAATTTGAGTATATCATATGGCGTTCTTTATTGACTAACAATATTTAAGTATTGAAAAAAACGCGACCGAAAAATGAATTTTAGTAAGAGAAAACAAAAAATTTTTAAATGTCAAAAACCTTTAATAAATTTGTAATTATTTATTATAAAATCCTTTTAGCTTTCAGACTTTCGGACGAAGCTAATTAAGTACAAGGTATAATCAAATAATGATAAGATCTAAAATGCAAAAGAGACTACCTTTAAGGTAGCACATACAAGTAGGATAATTAATAGAGTTAATTAACAATATAATACGTTTGAATAAAGGTTAATCTCTGCGAATATTTATGAATAATTTTTTTAAAAAAGCTATATTATAAATCGAATTTATGTACGGGTAATTTAATGTAAACGTAACGTATAACGAATTACTTAATTGAGAAATTAAGTATGGAAAAATTATCCTCACATTATGTTATTAGCCTTGTTATACTTGTTAATCGAAATTAACTACGATAAGTAAAATCTCTTTGTATCACACAATCGTATGCACTAATGTAATTATATTGTATATGAGATTTTATTACGCTAGACGATAAACGTAAAAAATGTAACACATGTTTTAGTATGTATATAATAAAAAAAAATGGTAACAACAATGATAACAAAACTTTTAAAAAAATTTATTAATTAAATTGAAAATTTTAACTTTAATTTCAACATAGTTACCGAAATTTATCACATTATACGAATTATAAATTTTGAAGTATAAGTAAAGGTTTTCCCCAAGATCAATTAAAAAATAAATTGTATAATACTCGTAATACAAATACACAATTAAAATCTTAATTAGTTTATTGACTCTTAATTAATTTATTCACTAAAATTATGTTTTTTTTATTATTATTATTATTATTTTTCTATTTTTATAACATAATTAAATTATAAATTTATTGTTTTCAAAACATATTATTATTAATTAATTGCTACGTTTGTTTATTTTTTAAAAGTCCAAAACAAATTTACGATACACTAAAGTATTACTCATAATATATTAGCTAGGTATGTAATACGAATAGAATTAGTTGCATCTTTAATATTAGAATGAAATAAAATTATAATGAATTCACTGCCAATTACCACTAATCAAGAATAAATTAAGAAATTGCTTTCAATCAGTTTGGTAACATTATGCTAATAAATAAGAATATACACGATCAAGATGAAGAGGCTTAATTCATTTTCAGCATCATAAGTATATCCGCCGAGAAATAATAATAACGAATATTGATGATAGATACGAGTATTACTCATTATCAATTGAAGATGGAAGAAATTATTAATTATCTTGCAAAGTTCTCACACAAGACTTCAATTTACCAGAATTTTAATAATTTTCCAAATTACGAAAATCAAATCAATATAAACGGTTGAACGGTTGAATAATGTGTTGTTGGAAAATTTTTTTTTCTTATTCAATGGTTAATGTCAGACTTACCGTTTCCCAAGAAAAATTGAATAGCTGCTTAAATATGAAATTTTTGAACATTCACTTAAGCAACATTGATGCGCTGGATCATACTCTACAAATTGGTTACACAAAATTTTTATATAATTTTCATGTCGTTCGTACCGTTTGTCATTATTAATATAACAGATTGGTTTTTCCTATTACAAAATCACAACCCCCACCCCCCTCTTCAATTTATTAATTAAGATCTGTTCCGCACACCACTCTGTATATGACACAAATATGAATTATTTAAAACAATAATATTTTTAATTTTAGAAATTTTTATGAATTACATTGTTGTTATTGTGTCCCTCAAAATTTTTGAAGAAAAAGAAAAATATTATATAGCCTACTACATACAATGATTCAAGAAAAAATTTTTTGAAAAAATAAATTTACAAAATTATTGCTCGCTTATTGCTCGTTTATTTTTATTTTTTTTTTAAATTAGTGACAAATAAATTTTAACGTCAACTATAAATTAAAAAAAAATCGGAAAGTTACGATCCAAAATAAGAAGACAATTTTCTATAAAACGTTCGGAAATTTTTGTTTACCGAAGAATCGTATTATACGCTTAGACTAAGAGTAGGTAGACATTCATAATATGATAAGAGCTTGGCCATTTCGTCCATCTCAATTCTGTATAAATGTAAATTAATAGAGTTGGAATTCAAATTATTGGATTGAATTTTTATATGCAGTAATTATTTTAGAATTGAAATTTTTACGAAAAAAAAAAAATACTTAATAAAAATAATTTTTTGATTAAATAAAACGATTTCCAATGTAAATCTATAATGTTATACATTTTCTTATACATATGTATATGTACATAATTAAAGTTAAAAGATCACAAAATAATGGAAAATTTCCTTTAATTTTTTTTAAAACTCAATAAAAAAACCACATTAAGACGAATTTCTGTATAATAAAAATTTTTTCAAAAAAAAAATCAATTCATCAGCTCAAATAAATTATTTTTTTTTTATTTACACAAAATACAAATTTATTTACTTTGAAGAATTCACCAATTTTCTTAGACAAAAGGAAGTCGTTTTATTTTTCTTCTTGTTGGTTTTTGAAAAGAAAATAGAAACAACTAAGAAAATTCAGAAATTTTTCTTTGAAATGAAGAAAATGTTTGTATAATTAAAATACGTTCTTAGATGAATAAATTCTCTTTTATCTATGTATAAGCATTTAAAATATTTTAAAATGATGTATCGGTTCTTTGTATACTCCTTTTTTTCTAGTAGAGTAAACTAATGGACGGAAATAGACGAATTTCAAACATGAACAATGTAATAATTAAAATCAAATAATTAAATTAAACAGTTGAAAAACTTAAATGAGATAAGGTGATGAATGCAAATTGAAATTGGAATAAAATACTTGTATATGAATAATAAAATTAATTAAATTAAAATTAATTCTTGGAGAACATTTGGAACAATCTCCAAATTATGCTAAATATTTTATGATAATCTCCAAGTGAGAACACTCAGATAATTGAAAATGAAATACAAATTTCATATTATGGTTTCTCTTTGGAAATCAAAAATAGACCTACAACATAACAGCATTACAAAGTAGATAAAATAATTCGACTTCTAGATCCTTTGTATATTTACAATATTTTAATTTCCTAAATTTTTTCATGCAAGCAAAATATATGAAAAAATAATTGCATAAGCAGAGAATATCAATTTAATAGACTATACCTTAACATTAGCCTTTTTAAGGTCATTTTTATAAAATATTAAAATAAAAATAAAAAGAAAAACAAAAAAAAACTTTCCAAAGTTTAAAAATCGTTAAATCTTATTAAGTGTTTTTGCTGCAATATTTGAAAATCAATTCACAATATTGTTAGAAATTTTTTTGATTTTTCGAGTTTGTAACAAGAACATGAACTTTTTCAAGAGAAACACTTTCGATTGGAGCAATGCGAAAAACAACTATTTTTAGCGGGATACTTGTTAATCTATAAATTTGCCGATTTGAATAACACTTGTATATTTGCGGCTGAGTCGGTTTTCTTTAAATTTCATATCTAAGTTTATTTGACGAATTAAATTTGGATACGTGAAATCTCAACAACGCCGACCTTTACTCAGCATCTATTTCCATTTTCAAAGTAAAAACAATATTCTATTTTATAATTGCATTTTTTTCATCCCTATAATTAAATTAAAAATATTTAAAATATTAAAATCAAAACATCATTTTACAAAAATACAGTTTAATTAATGGCCCGCGATTAAATTACGAAAAACAAAAAAAAAAAAATTATCAAATAAATTATTTTTTTTATTTTATACAAATATGCAAACATGCATATATGTACATGTGTATGTTGCAATACACGGAAGTTTTTTCATAAATTAATTCTAGCGGTTCGATAAAAAAAAAAAAACTTTCAAGGACAATATTATTGCCGTATATTTTGCAAATAGTCCTTAAAAATTGAAAAAATTTATGGTGCTAATATTAATACTATTGAATATAGTAAAAATTAGTGATACGTATATATATGAATGTCTTTCAAAAACTATGAACAAACACAAAATTTATCTATAAATTTTACTAACAACCAACTGGCTCATCTAAAACATCTTGAGCACTAAAGGTTCTTCTATAGTAGTTTATTAAAATTGTTGTTTTATTTGTTTAACTTAATGGCACATTTTATTATTTCCCTGCTACCTAAAGAGACATATTCTCAACTCTGGGTCGTAACATTGATTGTATATTACACATTTCTTTATTCATATACATAAGGCATAATCATAACCTAATATATATTCTTGCAAAAAAATCTGGAATTCTATAATCCTTATTTAATATTCTATTTATTTTCTGTATTAAATTTAAATAAACCGAAAAAAAAAACCTTTTTAATAAAATGAACAATATTGGCAAGAAAAAAGAAGGGTTGAATCGGTTTAAACCGAATCAGTGGCTAGTTTATACCGGATAAAAATTTAACTAAAAAAATTTTTTTTTGATAAAACAAAATATGCGATCAAAATATTCTTTTAACCTGTTTAAGCTAAATTTGCCATTAATTAATTTATTAAATTTGTACTGAGAATAATTAATTAAAATAATATAATAAATATATATGTACATTTGTATGTATGTTTGCGAATTTTAAATTTAACTAGTTATTTTATTTTTTTGTATTATAATTTCAGACTGTATTAGAGGGCAATCCACCACCTGGTGATGATGATTTCGAATTATGGGATCAAAGCCAAATGTGGAGATCAGAGCATAAAAAGTAATTTACAAATATTTCAAATAAAGATAAAAAATCTATATATGTATATATATACATATATATACATTTAAACTTACGAGTAATTTAATTTTTTTGAAAATTTTCAGATGGCAAAATAACACTTGGTGCAAACCATCATGTATTCCAATTACAGTGATTTTCTTTTTAATAGTTTTAGTTGTTTTACTTCCATTAGTTGAGCAAGCAAATGACAAAATATTACATACTAAACATAATGGCTCACAATATTTATGTACAGATAGTTGCAAGTAAGTAATTAATGTAGTATACTTATGTGTGTAGGGGTTCTTACTAAAATATTATTTTTATTACTTTTTATTTTTTATTATAGTATTCAAATTGTTGAAAGTATTCCAATAGGCCTTAATTATAGTGATGATAGTCCAAAATATTTATCAACTTATGATGCTTGGATGAAATTATTAAAATTAGCAAATAGCACTATTAATATAGGCTCATTTTATTGGACATTACGTGGTACAGATTTTTATAATCATAGTACAGCATGGCAAGGTGAAAAAATCTTCCAACAATTATTAATTGGTGGTACTCAACGGAATTTACAAATTCGTATTGCACAAAGTGCCCCAACAAAAGAGAATCCAAATCAGGATACAGAATTTTTAGCTAGACGTAATGCAGCTGAAGTACGTTCTGTAAATTTTCCAAGATTAGTTGGTGGTGGAGTTCTTCACACGAAATTGTGGGTTATTGATGAACAACATTTTTATTTAGGTAGTGCCAATATGGACTGGAGATCTTTAACACAGGTACTATAATATTTTTTGTATACAGTGTTCATTTAATAACATTTGAATTTTTTTTTTTTGTTTTATTCAGGTTAAAGAACTTGGTGTACTTGTAACAAATTGTACATGTTTAGCAAAAGATGTTAATAAAATTTTTAATGCATATTGGTATTTAGGGAAAAATAATTCTCACATACCTTCGTATTGGCCAGATGAATATAGCACAAAATTCAATATGAACAATATGCTAAAAGTTAACTTTAATCGAGCCTATGATTTTAGAGTCTTCTTTTCCGTAAGTAACTAAAAAAGTATTGAAAAATATAATGGAATTTAATTTAATTATAAATGGATATAACTATTAAGCACACAAATTCAATGTTACTATTTGCTTTTTCTTATAACTAAGTTCTATTGTCATTAAAATCTCTAACTTTCACTTATTATCAAGTTTCTATAAAACTTCATTTATTTCATTAAAATTTAAATACTTCTAATTTCAAAATATTCTTCATACTTCAGTTCGTATTGTTAATTCAAGAGAAATCATCAAACTTCTGAATGATAAAATTTACTTTCAATTTCAGAGTTCTCCTCCACCATTAAGTCCGAGAGGTCGCACACAAGATTTAGATGCAATTATCAATACAATTTTACATGCTGAGAAATTTGTTTACATCGCTGTTATGGACTATTTCCCCTTGACGATATACACTCCAAAACACAAGTATTTACAATCTAATTATTAATATTAACAAAAATATAAAAAAAATATTTTTAAAAATTCAGATACTGGCCATATATCGATAATGCAATACGAACAGCTGCTATTGAAAATAAAGTTGCCGTTAAAATGCTTGTTTCATGGTGGAAACATTCTAGACCTGAGGAAGATAATTATTTACGGTCACTCGAAAGCTTAGCTGACTCTAAAAATAATATAGATATACAAATAGTAAGCTTTATACAATATTTCAAATTCTTATTAAAATGTTTTTTATAAAATTTTAGAAACGTTTTATTGTTCGTTCAACTCCTGATCAAGATAAAATTCCATATGCTCGAGTTAACCATAATAAATATATGGTAACAGATAACACAGGTTATATTGGAACATCAAATTGGTCTGGTGATTATTTTACTGATACTGCTGGCATTGGATTAATATTAAGAGAAACTGATTATGATCGATTGCAAAATGAGACTACAATACGTAGCCAATTAGAGAATATATTCTTAAGAGACTGGGATAGTGAATATGCTGTTGATTTATCAACTATAAATGTCCACTAAATATCATATAGATTTATTTCATTAATAATAGTAATTAAAAATTTAATTTTATTTGTAATTTCACTTAGTCATAATTTAGTTTTTAAAATATATTTTCTTGAAATTCACTTAAAACTTCTCACACAGATACAAATAAGACGAAATACTTAATACATAATACAATGAATTTAAACTTTACTTTAATTAAAAATATAAAATATTAATTTACTACAATGTTATATTCTAAAAAAAATTTGCTCTTGTAAAATGCACAAAATTTGAAAATTAAACAAAATTATTGAGCAAATTTAAGTACTGATTTCTTAATAATAGAAAATAATAAATCAAACCTTATATTTTATATAATTTACTAGTTTATTATGTAAAATTTAATAAGGATATGAAAAAAATATTATATAAAATACAAATTAAAGAGATTAAGAATAAAAGAATAAGTTAATTGCATGTATGTATTTTAAAATACATATCAAACGAGTTGAAATTATGAATTTCTATTTAATTTTTCTCAAAATTAAAAATTTTAGTATTCTACTATTAGATATTAAGAACATTTAGTTTAACCATTAAAAAACATTTAGCAATTTTCCTACAGTTAGTAATATTTTTCAAAATGCAATTAAACTTCCTATTAATAAAATTTAGGCTGTCTCTTTCGCCTTTGTTTCTTCAAAACTAAATGATATATCAATAAAAATCGATCATTTTTGTTAAATAAAAAATTGCGGAAAATTTCGTATAATATGTAAATTTAATTAAATTATTTTTAGCAATAATTTTTTTATTAAAATAAAAAAAAATAACATAAATGAAACAAAAAAAAAAATATAGTTAGAGAAATATTGTTATATTGTTATATTTTAAATTTATGTACATATATTTAAAAATATAATATATAAAATAAAATTGAAAAAGGCTTATTTTAAAATGGTATTTTTTTATCATTAAATAATTTTTTTCTCTCATTAAGTATGTGATTCTTAATATTTAAATTGCAATCTGAACAAAATTATACAAAAATTATTTTGAAACGAGATTTTAGATTTTCAATTTTATCATTTGATAAAATTGAAATATAAGACTATATCTTATTTAAATTTTTTTTTTTGTGGTTCTGAGTATGAAAATGTTCTGATATGAAAACACATAGAAATTTTTCTGTTTCATGCTATTTTATATAAAAACCATTGTCTGAAATCCTCTTTTTTTTTTACTTTTTTGTTATATTTATCTTAAAATTAATCAATAATTACTAAAATTTATTCAAACAGTTTTTCTTAATTATAATTCTAAAAATGTTTTTATCAAATTTTATTAATTTAACCGTGTGTATTATCATCTTCAACAAAATCTTTAGCTTGTTCTTTTGTGACACAATCAATGTGGCTCACTTTATTACGAAAACGTACCCCATAAAATTTATGTGCATGTTCTAATAATTCTGGTCTAAATGTAGTTGTGATAAATTGAGCATTATCACTTAGTTCATGTATCATATCAGCTACAGCTTTCCTATGTTGTGCATCTAAAGCCTAAAAATATATTTAATTACGTGAAATTTAGCCAATACAATATTGTAAAACTATATTAATATACCATATATATACATATTTTACCTGATCTATTTCATCAAATAAATAAAAAGGAGCTGGATCACATTTTTGTATAGCAAAAATTAATGTTAATGCAACTAAAGATTTTTGTCCTCCGGATAATTGATTCATTTCCCTCATTTCAGCTTGATCTCCAGTAAATGAAACACGAATTCCAATACCAGTAAATGCATCTGAATTAGCAACTTCAACATTATTAACATCATCATCATTGCTTTCTTTTGTTTTTAATATTAAATAACCAGCACCTTGTGGAACAAGTTTTTTGAAAACCTTAGTAAAATTTTGTGCTACTTGCTTAAATGTAAATTGTATAGCTTCAACTTTACGAGTTTCTAAATTTTGCATTAATTCTCGTATCTTTTGATCCCCGATGTCCAATTCTTCCTTTCTTTTATACAATTTCTCTTTTTGTTCAGAAAAACTTAAAAACTGGTCTAAAGCTTTTTTATTAACATGGTTATATTTTTTCAAATGCTGATTTGCTTTTTCTAACTCAGTAAAAAGCCTTTTTAAAGACATTTTTGTGTAAGCTGGGTCAACTTGCGGCAAGGCCCCTAAACTTTGGATTTTTTCCATACATTCGTCAATTTTTTGATGATATAGGTTTTCTTTTGCTGCCCACTTTTCTGCCTTCTTTGCATCTTCGGACATTTTTTCCTGACAATCTTTTTCTTTTTGAATCCATTGCTCGAGTTCTTTTTGTAAAGATATTTGCATTTTAACTGCATTTTGAACTCTAAAATAAGTTAAAACATATTTTAAGACATATAATATAAATAATATTTGGACTTACTTTTTATCCATCTCTTCCAAATCTTGATTTACCTTTTTAATTCTTTTTTCAGTAGCTGCTAATTCATTTCGGCAGTTTTGTAATTTTCTTTTTCTATCTTCAACAGATATTTCTTGAAGAGCTTGAATAAGCTCATCACGACGCCTAAACAGGTTATTGGTCAGCAAATTATCCAATTTATTTTTGACTACTTCTAGACGCATACGTGCTGAAAACGCTTCTTTGTTTTCTTGGTTTAATCGTCTTATGTCATCATTAAGTTGATCTACTTCACGCTGATCTTGTGCTGATAGAGTTGACATTAATTCTTGATGTAATTCTGCTTCTAAACCTTCTTTTGTACTAGACATCGCTTCCAAATTCGCCTTACATTGTGCAGCTGAACGTTCTTTGGGAGCTCTATATTTCTCAATTCTAGAAAGTTCTTCTTTCATTAAACGAATATCCGCTGTGACTTTTTCAAATATGTCTTTCGATTTCCCTTGTTTTGTTTCTGTTTTTTGCATTTCAGAAACTACTTTGTTGATTTCGGTTTCAGTTTGTTTTAATTCATTCCTCAATGTGGCTAATTCTTCTTCAAAGTCTTTTATTAAATCATTGTACTCACTTCGCTTCTTCTGCATTTCAAGTCTGGATCTTGAAGTATTAAAATATCCACCTGTCAAGCAACCTTTAGAAGACACTTGATCACCTTCTAATGTCACACAATCCAATCCCGTCGATTTTGCTAATTCAGTAGCACGTTCTAAGTTACGACAAATTAATGTTTTGCCAAAGATATATCTTAGAGCTTTATCATACTGTTCCTCATATTTTAATTTTGAAATCATAGGAATTGAATCCGGATCATCAGGATAGTCATGAATTTTCACTTGTAAGCGATTTAGGGGCATAAAAGTTACTTCACCTGGCAGTTTTTGTTTGTTCATTTCTTTTAAAATTTGTGTTCCCACTCGATCAGTATCTATTATGTGATGAAATAAACGATTTCCTGCAGTCACTTCGACTGCTGTATAAATAGTTTTGTCGCAGTTGAAATTTTCTATGACTGGACCATAATAAGATTTGGCTATTTTTGCATATTCACCGCCGCGGTCTAGAAAACTATCCAGTACTTTTCTAACGGAATCTCGACCATTTAAAATCGGCTAGTTGTACAAAAAAATTTGATAAATTTATTTTAAAAACTTATAGATTATAATCAAAACTTTATTTTTTGGTATATTTTTATACCAAAAATAATTTTTATTACCTTTCCAGCCATAGAACGTAAAGATTGATCAGCTTTTGCCAGCTCTTCTTTGTGTGCCTGCAGTTGTTGTGTCATTTGAGTTTCCTTTCTCCAAAGTTCACTAAAGATTTTGTAATTCGTTTAATAATGTTTAGAAAGTTTTATTAGCATAAAAATGAACTCACTTTCGCACAGCTTGATGAGTATCTTTCTTCTTTTTTAGTTCGTAGTATTGTTTGTTGTGTTCATCAATTTGTAATCTTAGATGTTCTAATTCCGATGATTGTTCTTCAATTTTCCTAGTTAATTCTTTTTCCATGTTAGCATCCTTTTTTAAATCATCTAATAATTTGTTTTGATGATTAATTTTATCTTTTATTTGCTTATTTAGAGATTTTAATTCATTTTGAATCCATTTATCTCTCTCCTCTCTTGAAGAGAACTGTGAACCCCTTCCTTGTTTAGCATATAATTCCTTACGTTTTTGTTCTTTCAACGATAACTCTCGTGAACACTCTTCTTCTTTCTTCTTCATTGCTTCATATTTTGGTTTAACTTCTTCTAATTCTTTTTCTTTTTCGGCTATAGTTACCTTAAGACGTTTCAGTTCTTGATCAGCTCGTTCCTTAGATTTATTATCTCCTTGTACTTCATCAGTTAAATCGGTAATAGTCAAGTCCAATTTCGTCTTTTCGCGAAGTAGTTGTTGCTGTTCGGCTAATAGGACAGATCGTTCCTCCTTTGTAGTGGCAACATCCTTTTTAGCATCTTTTAAACTTTTTTGTATCTGTTTAACTTTATCTTGAGCATTTTGTATTTCCATTTGTAGTTCTTTCTGCTTATCTCCAGAAGATTTTCTTTGCCGCTCCAAATCCTCTAAAGCTCTTTTGTTTTCTTTCATTTCCATATCATGAATTATATATTCCAAAGACCGTCGTGCTTTATCCCATTTTTGATATTCTTTAAGTTCTTCTTTTTCCTCTTCTAAGGTCTGCAATCGCTCTTCAATGGTTTTCAAAAATTCTGTAATCTTTTCAACTTTACTCTCAGTATCTTTTAATATATTTAATGATTCCTCCTTTCTTTCATCGTAAACCCTAGTGCCTGCAACTTCTCGCAAAAGTTTTAAACGATAAGAATCAGGTGCCGTTGCCATTTGATTAATTTTGCCTTGTTTCACAATATAATATGGATTTGAATTGGAAAATCCCGCAGACTCAAGTAAATTAACAACTTCAGTTCTTGGAACTACTTTCTTGTTTAAAAAATATTGATCTTTTTTGGCACCAATTACTCTTCGTAGAAATATTTCATCTTTGTCAATCTAAAAAAATATCGTTTTATTTTCCTAACAAACATTGTCAAATTTCTACTTACTGGGACACGATTATCGGAATTATCAAAAATAATTTCTACGTAAGCTGAAATTACCCTAGCTCCAGTACCTTCATGCAATAGAGATTGCCTTTGCTCTGGGCGTAAATGTGTAAATTCATCACTCAAAACGAATTGAATGGCTAAAAATGGAAACAATTTATTTTACATATAACACACTTTCTTCAATATTTTTAAATTTACCATAGAAAAAATTGCTTTTTCCTGACCCATTTCGGCCCACAACCACATTGTGCCTTTTATCGAATGGTTCAACAACTGTTTGGTCCTTGTAAGATTTAAAACCTTGTATAATTATCTAAATTAGGTGTAAGAAAATAAAACATTATTTTTTCAACTAACTTCACAAATTTGAAAGCCTATTATTATTAAATTTTGTGACCAAAATCAAAGAAGAAAGAAACAATTAAATGAGATACCTGTTTTATATGCATTTTATTTAAATTATCTCATGCATTTATGACAAAATAATTTTATTATTATATTAAATTTATTGTGTAAATAAAATTGACAAATTTTGGGCGCTACAATTTTTTTTTTTACCTGAAAACTGACTTTTATTTTAATTGTCAAAGTTTGACAAACCCAATTTATAGTACACACATTTTAACCTATTCAAACCCCATTGTTAAAAAACAGCGAAATGAATTGAAGTGATTTTAATTTTCGCATTTTTTATTTTGATTTTTAAGTAGTATATAATTATATACAGGTAGCATATAATTTAAAATTAAGCTTTATATTCATGATAATTTGGGATGATAATCCCAAACCGATATATGGATCAACTTGATTAAGGTGAATGTAAAGTTGAGGCTTGTATGGGTGTTAATTTTTACTTAATAAATTTGAAAGCTGAAGTTGTGTAAAATTAGATCACATTTAGTTAGAATTTAAAGATGCATATAATATTCAAAATGTAATTTTTTTAAATAAATACCAGTTTTCCGGTTCTGAAAAACTGAAGTTTCAAATCTAATCCGTTTCAAATTCGAGATGAATATTATTAAAAATGCAACTTTTCAAAAAAAAAAGTGTTTTTTGAAAAACGTGTTTACATTAAAATTATAGAATATGGCCATCTTTTTCTACGTAATGGAATGCGCCACTTGTCACACTACTTTATGTTTTAGGGGAATGTCAAATAAGCAGATACTTTAAATGCTTTCGTTATGTCAAATTAAAAAAAATAACAATCGGAAATAAAAATAATATAAATATAAATATTAAAATAAAATTGCTACATAAATTTTGATATTTATTGAAATATGGAATCGTCAGCTTGCGAAGATCTCAAAGCATTTGAGCGAAGGTTAACAGAAGTAGTAGCATCATATTATCCATCGACAATCAGATGGAGAATTCTGTTAGCAATAGTTTCAATTTGCACGGCAACTGGAGCTTGGTATTGGCTACGGGATCCAAATACTTCAATATTACCATTACCAGAATCCCTCTGGTATCATCCTGTTTTTTTTTGTGCTACCTTATCTCTCATAATTTTGTTTTTATTTGGAATACATAAGCTTGTAATTGCACCGCAAATCATAACATCTAGAATGAGATCGGTTTTAGCTGATTTTAATATGAGTTGTGATGACACCGGAAAATTAATACTAAAGCCTCGACCTAATAATTAGCTAAAATTAAACTTAGTTATAATATTACTCAATATTAATTTAAATTAAAAATGTGGAAAGTAAAATAAACATAAATCTTAGGAATTTGTAATTTTCATTTAATAAAATATAGCGTAGTAAATACGAAAATTATGAGATATCTTTATTAATAATTTTGATTTAATTTAGATAACAATATCTTGGAAAATTATTGATGTGAAAAAAAATTTTATTGAGATATCGTAATCATTGATAAATCAAAAGCAAGTTAAACAAACTACTTTTAGAATCTAAAGTAGTAATGCTTCAATGTGTTCTTAAAAGCTATTTTGAGAATAATAATTCGTATATTATACTACAGCAATTATGAAAGCTTATCCAGCTAAGATGACTGAAAAATAGTTTAATAGAAATAAAATTACTCATATTCATTTTCGTTTTTTTATTGCTTTTTTTCATACTATATGTCTGCCTAAAATAACAATTAGATATAGGATATTTTCTTTGTACGACGGAAAAAGAAAAAGTGTACACCTAAATATAAAACACGTCTACTATATATTGATAGTAATACAATTATTTTCTTTTTTAGAATTAAAATTATACAAACATTATAACTTTTTATTTCTATTATCTTGTAGAAATCCTTAATATATAATTATTTAAGTCATCTCGATATAATATATCTTCCTGCCTATTATCGTCGTTAACATTTTCTTCAACTTGATATATATTAGTCCATTTCCAAAGGAGTCTCCTGTAATAGCTACCTCTAAATGAAGCAATAGTTGCGGCTCTTACATTTTTTGGTAAATCATCAACGTAATATGCTTCTTTATTGGTTTCATTATGATAGTAAAACTTATTCTTCGACCTGGAAAGTACTTTAACAAAAGGGGGATTGGTTTCATTAAAAAACATAAGCCCACCAGGTACAAAAAACCTTTCAGCTCTAGATGGGTCGTCGCTTCGTATTCGAAAGCCCAGTCTAGATGTACCATCTTTTAATTTATAGTGCCGCATTGCATTGAAAAATACTTGTATTTCATTGAGGGCATATAATTTTTTGCATCGTATAGGGGCTACAGGCTGATAATTTCCTACGACGTTTGTTGTTTTGTAAGGTTTGTTTAAAGCTTTCGCAAATTTTGTGCACATTCTTATACGTTCTTGGAGTGGTTCACGATGAATATCAATGCCTCCTAAGACTATACCATCTATAATATGCAAAGCTTTTACTTTATTTTGTGATCTGCCTTCACCCATTAATTCCGTGACTATTTCTCCATAAATAAGAGTTTTAGGGCTGATTTCTAAACAACATTCAACAGGTTCCCATCGCCCACTGCAGTACTTTAGCACATTTGTTTTGCCCTTGGACAGAAAAAAAGATTTTACATTTTCTTTAGTTTCTTCTCTGCAAACTGGTACAAAGTGCCAATCATAAACGTAACGTATTCGTTTCTCCAAATCTTGTACTTTGTTTAATTCAAGTGGAGAAACGCTCATCATAGTTTTGTCATCTTTCCATTCCTTCAAAAGTTCCTCTAATAACGATTCGTTAGTTGGAGTGTCGGGAACGGTACGAATTTGATCTGGCAAGTTCCATAGCTTTAGACTTTTCATTTTGTAATCCGCTTGATTATTTTCTTTGAGAGTATCATCTTTACAATACGCAGCGATTTTTATCAGTCCAATTATTTGATTTTTTCCTAATGTATTATTACTTTCATAAATATATTCAAAAAATTCTTTGTCTTGCTTAAGAATATTTATATCAACCAAATGCAAAATATCATTATTTGGATCATTACTACAAATTTTTTTATTTATTTCAGAAAAATGCCTTCTTATAGTTTCTGTATTTGATTTTTTCCACTTACATATTAAATATCGTTCTGAATTTGCAGGGCGACTTGTATTTGGCTTACATATCGTGATTTCTTCAAAACATTTATACATTAAATATATTAAACCAACACTAAACGGGGTGAAAAGATCGAACATTTTGCAAACAAAGTGCCCCTTTTCTCTTAAAATTGAAAGAGCTACAAGACACTGGCATAAATATAATTGTTTTGACAAAATTTCTTGTATATTTTCTTGCTCTAGAAAGATAGGTAATGCAATATAGAATATAAATGCTAAATAAAATTTGTACTTACTTTCAACGGAAAACCCGCCATCAGCCATCACAAAGTGAACACCAGATTCAGTTTGTCTTAACACGTAATCCGCAAAAGATTCTTGATTCTCTGGATCATAAATATCTCCGTTATTTTTCACTCCGTAGTGCCTGTAAAATAGTAAAACTAGCATGCAAATCTTAAATATGAATGGTCAATTTTTACGGATCGAATGTTTCAGGTGGTCCAGCTAGAAATTCGGTTAATTTAAAATCGTTATCACCTCTTAAAGTAAACCCAAATCCTTTGGCTTCCCACTTTTTTCTATACAGAATATATTCAGAAAACCCACCAGGTCCAGCGCAAATATCAGCAAAATACAATAAATCATCATTTTTAACTAAACTCCTCCCATTTTCATCAACTGGATTCGTAAACATGAACTTGCATATAGCATCTATGTTGGCCATTTTCACCGCTGCTCTATTCAAAAATATATTCCCTCGAATAGTTTCAAATGGGTTACTACGCGTTCTAGCTTTTCGCATGTCTCCTGCGTTTAAATTGTCAAAAACACTTTTTGAAGTTAACACATTTTCTAAAACTCTGGAATCGCAAAAATGTGATTCATCGTCAATTATCAATTTTTGTGGTCCCGTTACAGTCCAGTTATCCAAATCGTCCATAGTCAGGTTATTTAAAAAGTCTATATCATTATTTTTTAACCAATTGACTGTTTCAGATAATTGAATATTTTCCATACTGGGATCCCACTTTGCCGAAGCCGCATCTAAATCATCAAGTCTTAAACCAAAACCTCGTCTTCCTTCTTGACGACTTGCCTCGATTGGTTTCAGAATACCTTGCCCCTCCTTTCCTAAACCTTCATCTCCTTTGTAACCCATTTTTTGCATAATATTCACAGCAGCTTCCGAATAACCTGAGTAACTCTTGGACCACTCACTTTTCATTTTAATTCCAGGGGAAGTGGATTCGTTACTATTTTTTCGCATTTTTTTGTTTGGAGGCATATAGCTTGAAGACCCAGACATTACAGGTGATTCCATACCAGATGAATTAACCTCTTCATGTTCAGAGTTATCATCTGAATCAGAAAAAGAAGTATTTTCGTCCGTTGTAGCATAGTTACTCAATGTACACTGCGTTCCACCACCTTCATCTTCAGAAGTAGGCATATTGTTCAATTTTTTTCCCACGCTCTTCTATGCAAAATTTTCTATCAATTTTTCTGTTTTCTTCTAATTTACTTCGGTTTTAAATAAAAAAAAATAAATCCAAAAGAATATATACTCCTTTTCGCGCTAGAAATTTATCAAATTAAGTTTTTAAGTAATAAAACTTTTATAAACTTATTTTGAAAATGGTTGTTCCACTATATGCGTTTATTTAATGTGTATAAACTAATTTTTATCAAAACTCAGTAATGTCAAATTGATTTTCAATTAAGGAAACAGAATGAAATTCAAAGCGTTGGCGACAGTTTATAACGCTGCTCACAATTTAACATAGGAACGTCATCGTAATAGAAATTTATATAGCATGTGATTTGAAAACTAATTTTAGAGACCTTTGTATAAAATAATTGTGACGATACATAACAAGTGTGACGTGATATAAAGTTTGCGTTGGGAATTTTCAAATAGATCTTCCAAAAATTCCTTTATTTTATTGGATATAAAAGAAATATATTGGCGTAGGTATGGCGACTATCAAAATGAGAAAATTGATCAAATGAAATCAAACCTTCCCTTTCGTTTAAATGAGCTATACACCTTCTGTATGTCCTATAAGCGTTATGTTAAAGCGCAATTTCCCCATAATCCTTTTTAGAATTTACATATAACATTTACAATATTTACAAGAAATATATTTTATAAGCTCTTGGTCATTACTTGGTCGTGAATAACATAAAAATTTCGCATCGCCTATTCTGAATATAGTGTTTCAAATCGTATTATAAATTGATTTTGCTTTAATTTAATGTCAAACAAATATTTTGACAACCGGTAAAGTGTTTATTTAAATCTCAAAAACGGCAACTTTTAAAATTAGAAAGACCATTTGACCTGCATATTTGAAGAGATACATACATTAAATATGTACAAGGCCGATTTCTAATTAAATTTTTATGTGCGCGTACATTAATTATGTATGTTTTTTTTTATTTTAAACAGGTTAGCTCTTTTAACATGTTTTAAACATATAAAGTATTTAAAATTTATAATTTTTCAATAAAAATTATAGTTTTTCGTTAGGGTAAAATATAAAAGCAAAAAGACATGATTTTTAACTTATTAATTTAGCCTGTTGTTCTCAAAATATGGTAATTTAAAGGAAATAAATATTTATTATATGCATCCTAAAAAAATACTTCTTAAAAAGACAAAATATTACATGTAATTCCGAACAAGATCACTTTATTTTTCGTTGATATATACATAATATGTATACATTTTGTATGCAACATACCAAAGATCTTCTCCGGAAAAAAATAAAATTTTCTTTTTCGAAATAAAGTCAATTGGTTTTTTCTTCTTTTTAGAATGTATTTTTGGAAAATTATCATTTGTTTCTTTGAAAGCTGTTTATGAGTAACAGAAAAATTTAGCAGACTACGTAATTTTCCAACATAATTTGCGATATTTGCGGTTAAGGTATAACTGAAGTAAACAAAATTTAAAAAAAAAAATGCAATATTTTATGATGGTAACACTTCTAATGGAAATTTGTCAGTTCGGCTTTTGATAGAGCCACATTTCTTTTTTCTTAAAAATTTAATTAAAAGGTGTTACTTTATATATAAAATAGTTTATTTTAAGGAAATCTTAGATTTAATTGTTAGATTTATGTATATAGAAAGTATTTTTATAAATTTGCTTGTTGAATCTTCGGCAAAGTAGAAATTCATCATAGAGAAAGTGAATAAAAATGGCAGACTATTTAATATCCGAGGCTGAAGAATCTGAAGTAAGCTTTAAAATATTCTGAATCAGCATATAAAAAACCATGGCTATGAAAAAAAATAAAATTATCTTGGAAACTTTTAGGATGATGAAGAATTAGAACCACATGAACGGAAAAAACTGAAAAAAATTAGAGCTGTAGCTGATTCCAGCGAAGAAGAAGAGGAAGGTCGAAATTTTGATATCTTTATTATATTTTTAATGTTATATTTTATTATGATATATATAACAAAATGATTTTAAAACATTTTTTATGTAAAACAGATGATGAAGAAAAAATCAGGGAGGAATTAAAAGATTTGATCGATGATAATCCAATAGATGAAGATGGTGATGATTCAGACGGTTCAGATGCATCAGATGGCTCTCGAGGTAAGAGAAAACGAAGTGATAATGAAGATGATTTTGACGACCGTTTAGAAGACGATGATTACGAGTTACTTGAAGAAAATTTGGGCGTGAAAGTTGATAGAAGGGTAAAAAATTTCTATTTCAATTAAATATATTGGCATATACATATTTCTCTGTAGAAACGATTTAAACGGTTACGGAGGGTTCAAAGTGAAGAAAGTGAAGGAGAAGAACAAGAAGATGAAAATTTGGCTAGAGAAGCTATAGCTGGTCAGCTATTTGAAGGCGGAAGTGACGAGGTAATTTACAAATAAAAAAATTATTCGTAACAAACTAAATCATGCAAATCATTTCATTTTGCTTCAAAAAGGAACGGGATCTTAACACGGTTTGAGTTTCCAAAACCATGTTACTACACAAAACGAAAAATTTATATAATTTATACTTTAATTATAGGAAACCGAAAGACGATCAGAAAGAAGTCACCGTGAGCCAGAAGTCGAAAATTTCGATGAAGATGAAGATGAAGAGTCTGACGCCGATGATTTCATTGTTGATGATGATGGCCAACCTATTGCTCAAAAAAAGAAAAAACGTCAAAGAATTCATGGAGACGCGTAAGTAAAGTTTGTTGAAAACCTATGTCATTGTGAATATAATACAAAAATTTTTAAATTCTTATTCGTATATGTATGAATGTGTTCATATATGTTTATATATTTATTTATCAATTTATTTATTTATTTATTCATATATTTATTTATTTCTTCTTGGCTCGTCAAATCGTGTCTATTTTATGTTTATACTCTTAATAGAACACTGCAAGAAGGGCAAGATATATTTGGTGTTGATTTTGATTATGATGAGTTTTCAAAATATGATGATGATGAATATGAAGAGGAAGAGTCCGATGAATATGAAGAAGATTTTGATGGAAATGAACGGGAACCACGACCGAAAAAATCAAGCAAAAAAAAAACTCAGAAAAAATCAATATTTGAAGTTTTCGAACCTAGTGAGCTGAAACGCGCCCATTTCACTGATTTAGATAATGAAATACGAAGAACTGATATACCCGAAAGAATGCAATTACGAGAAGTTCCTATTACGCCAGTTCCAGAGGGTTCAACAGAATTACAAGAAGAAGCTGAGTGGATTTATAAACAAGCTTTTTGTAAACCTTCAGTTTCTGAACAAGAAGATAGTCAAGGTAACCGATCAAGAAAACCACCTAGTACTGTTGGAAAAATCAAAAAAGCTTTAGAGTATATGAGAAACCAACAACTTGAGGTTCCATTTATAGCATTCTATCGTAAAGAATATGTTCAACCCGAATTGTATATAAACGATTTGTGGAAAGTTTACAAATACGATGCTAAATGGTGTCAGTTGCTTCAAAGAAAAACAAATCTTTTACAACTTTTTGAAAAAATGCGAACTTATCAATTAGACACAATAATGGCAGATCCTGACAAACCTTTGCCAGAAGATGTACGTATTTTAAGAGATGATGACATAGATAGATTAAAAAATGTTCAAACGCCAGAAGAACTCAAAGATGTACATATGCACTTTTTGTTACATTATTCCCATGAAATACCAAAAATGCAAGATATATGGCGCCAAAAGGAGAAAGAACGTAAAAAAAAGGAAAAAGCAGAAGCAAAAAGAAAAGCTTTGGAAGCTTCTGAAAATGCAACTGAGAATGGGGAAGATGGTGCTGAACCACCTCCAATTGAAGATCTTAACATTGAGGAAGATGAGGAAGAAGAACAAATTGAGGAACATATTAAACAGGCAAAAGATTCTGGTCCTTATGCGATGTGCCGTAAAGCTGGCATTTGTGGTTTTGCTAAAAGATTTGGACTATCGCCAGATCAATATGCAGAAAATCTTCGAGACAACTATCAACGTCATGAAGTTGATCAGGAACCAGTTCAGCCACGGGAGCTAGCAAAAGGATATTTATGTCCCAAATTTATGATGGTTGATGAAGTTATGCATGCTGCCAAATTTGTTGTAGCTAGACAAATCGCAAAAGAACCCTTATTACGGAAATGTGTAAGAGAAGTTTTCTATGAAAGAGCTAAAATTAACGTTCGGCCTACAAAAAAGGGTATAAAAGAAATTGACGAAAACCATCCATGTTACACTATGAAATATTTAAAAAATAAACCAGTTCGTGATTTAAAAAATGAGCAATTCTTAAAGCTGATGATTGCTGAGCATGAAGATAAGGTTTTGGAAATTGAGATTCTCGACACTATTGAGGGACACACATCGAACTCTTTTTTGGAAGAAGCTAAGCAATTGTATCAAAGAGATGAATTTTCAAAAAACGTTCAAGAGTGGAATGCTTTAAGAGCTGAATGTGTTGAAATCGCTCTCAAAAAGATGGTTATTCCCGATTTGAAAAAAGAGTTACGATCAGTTTTGATAGCTGAGGCAAAAGATTTCATTTTAAAATCCTGTTGCAAAAAATTACATAATTGGATTAAAATTGCTCCATATCAACCCCCTGACGATTTTTGTGATGAAGAAGATTATGATGAATGGGATTTTGCGAAAGGTATTAGAGTAATGGGGCTTGCATATGTGCCAGATGTTTCTCAGGTAAAACTATTTAATTATAAAAACTTGTGTTGTATCATATTCCAATAGTATGCTCCTTTTTATCTACATAGGCTGCATTTTGTGCAATAACAAGTCACGAAGGCGAAGTTACAGACTACCTAAGAATTCCACACGTATTGAAAAGAAAAAATACTTATAATATTGAACAGAAACAATTAAAAATGGAAGAATTAGAAAATATTAAAAATTTTGTTCGAACAAAAAAACCCCATGTGATTGCTATTGGCGGGGAATCACGCGAAGCCTTGTCAATTCAATATGAGCTGCGAGAAATGGTTAAAGAGTTGGTTGAAGAAGAACAATTTCCTAAAATAAGTGTAGAAATTGTTGATAATGATTTAGCCAAGATTTATTCAAATTCAAAAAAAGGTGAAAGCGATTTCCGCGAATATCCAAGTGTACTTAAGCAAGCTATATCCATAGCAAGGCGTATGCAAGATCCATTAGTAGAATTTTCTCAATTATGCACAGCTGATGAAGAAATAATGTGTTTAAGGTATCATCCAATGCAAGATCATGTAAACAGTGATGAATTACTTGAAAATTTGTATTTGGAATTTATAAACCGCACCAATGAAGTTGGTGTTGATATAAATGTTGCCGTACAAAATTCTTTAACGGTGAATCTAGTACAATTTATTTGTGGTTTAGGACCTCGTAAAGGAATAGCATTAATTAAATTGCTGAAACAAACAAATCAAAGGCTTGAAAATCGAACACAACTTGTAACAAATTGTCATATGGGTCCTAAAGTATTCATAAACTGCTCTGGTTTCATTAAAATTGATACAAATTCGTTAGGGGATAGCACTGAAGCATACGTTGAGGTATTAGATGGTTCAAGAGTGCATCCTGAAACTTATGAATGGGCCAGAAAAATGGCTGTCGATGCGTTGGAATATGACGACGATGAAGCAAATCCAGCTGGAGCTCTGGAAGAAATTTTAGAATCCCCAGAACGTTTGAAAGACCTTGATTTAGACGCGTTTGCCGTTGAATTAGAGCGACAAGGTTTTGGCAACAAAAGCATTACTTTGTATGATATAAGAGCTGAGTTGAATTGCCGATATAAAGATCTAAGAACACCCTATCGATCACCAAATGCGGAAGAGCTTTTCGATATGTTAACCAAAGAAACTCCAGAAACCTTTTACGTTGGTAAAATGGTTTTGGCTAATGTGTATTCCATTGCACATAGAAAACCACAAGGGGAACAATTAGATCAAGCAAATCCGGTACGAAATGAAGAAACTGGTTGCTGGCAATGTCCGTTTTGTTTAAAAGATGATTTCCCAGAATTGTCAGAAGTTTGGAATCATTTCGATGCTGGAGCATGCCCTGGTCAAGCTTTCGGGGTTAAAGTTCGATTGGACAATGGTTTATCTGGCTTTATTCACATCAAAAACCTCTCTGATAAGCATGTTAAAAATCCAGAAGAAAGAGTTCAAATTAATCAAACTATTCATGTTCGAGTTACGAAAATTGATGTTGAAAGATTTTCAGTTGATTGTACGTCAAAGTCATCAGATCTGATAGATAAAAATAATGAATGGCGACCAAAAAAAGATCCAGATTATGATCAAGAAGTGGAAGATAAAGACAATCGAAAAGAAGATGACACTAAGAAGAACAAGTCGAGGCAGCAGTATGTAAAGCGAGTGATTGTGCATCCTTCTTTTCACAATAAATCCTATGGCGAAGTTGTTAAAATAATGGAAACTATGGATCAAGGTAAGCCAAAGAAATTCAAATGAAAATAACTAATATTAAAATGTATTGCATTGTAGGTGAGGTTATAGTTCGACCTTCTAGTAAGGGATCAGATCATTTAACTGTTACATGGAAAGTTACTACGGATATTTATCAACATATTGATGTTCGCGAAGAAGGAAAAGAAAATGTATTCAGTTTAGGACAATCGTTATGGATTGGAAATGAGGAGTTTGAAGACTTAGACGAAATTATAGCTAGGCACGTTAATCCAATGGCAGGTTATGCTAGAGATTTATTAAATTATAAATATTACCGTGATACACAAGGTGGTCTTAAGGACAAAATGGAAGAAATTTTAAAGGAAGAAAAGCGGAAAGACCCAAAGAAAATCCATTACTTTTTTTCAGCCTCCAAAAACTACCCAGGAAGATTTTTGTTATCATGTTTACCAAAAACAAAGTGTCGCCATGAGTACGTTACAGTAATGCCTGAAGGTTTTCGATATCGCGGACAAATATTCGATTCAATAAACTCATTGCTAAAATGGTTTAAGGAACATTTTGCTGATCCAATGCCTAGTACAACGCCAGTATCTACACCGAGACCTGGTAGCGTTTCAAGTTCTACCCGTACACCCAATTCATATGCAACTCCCGCTGGAATGAGTTCCATGAGTTCGGATACCATTAACAAAGTCGCAAGAGACATGCCTCCACATATGCTACATTCATTAGCTCAGGTAGCTGCTACAGGCGGTGCACAAACTCCACATTTTACAAACACTCCTGGTGGATATGGTACTAGTTATATCAACACACCTTATACACCTAGCGGACAAACTCCATTCTTAATGACACCTTATACGCCACATGGGTCACAAACACCACGATATGCTCCTAGTCCTAGTTCAGCCTCAGATACAAATGGTCCATTTATTAAACCAAATGCACCGTCATATGGTGCATCATCAAGGCATGGTCCTGGATCAGTTCACTCTTCACCTGCTTATGGCAGGTCACCTCGAACAAACATGGGACATCCAGGCCATGGTGGCCACAGAGGAGGACCAGGACAGACAGGTCATGGGGGATATCACCAAGAAAATATAGACTGGCAAATGGCCAACGATGCGTGGGCGTCCAGGAAGAAACCAAATTCTACTCCCAGAGATAATATCCCTGGAGGTTTCACTCCGCGTGGTGGTCACAATAATAGAACTCCCCGTTATGATGATACTTTCTCGAAAGAAACGCCGCAGTATGATGAAAGACCTTCAAGCCGATCAAGTAGGTCAGGCGCAAATGACAACCGTAAGAGCCCGAGATCCATACGTAGCACACCAAGAACTAACACATCGCCAACCTCAATGACTTTAGGTGATTCTACTCCCCTTTACGATGAAAATTAAATGTAAGAAATTTGAACATTTACAAACCGAAAATATTTAAATCAATTAAAATTTTACTTTACGGGAATGTTATAAAAAATTTGTTGCAAAATTAGGGTTAACAGTAGAATTTCCGAATTATACTTTTTAACAATTGTCATGTAAAATTAGATAATATTTTCTTTTATAATTAATGATAATTATTTTGATTTAATATTTTTAGATTTTTAATTTATAAATAATAAGTTTATGATATAGTTAATAAATCTATACGTACCAGAAAAAAAAACAAAAACAAATCAAAATGAAATTTTTACTTGCAATATTTTGTCAAAGGTTAGAAAGTATATAAAGTGTTTTACTTAAATACATAATATGTACATATTCGAAGCCAAAAATTGGCTTCATTCGGAATGATGCTTGGTTTTAATATTCTGAAATATTTTGCATGTGTAATTTTGGAAATTGTGAGCATTCACAGTTGAAATATCAACTACAACGCTAATTACAAATTCATTAAAAAAAAAAATCGTTTAATTAAACTTATTAATGCATCGCAAAATTTCAATTTACATACTGTGCTGCAACATTAGTTACAACTATAGTTTAAATTTGAGAATATACGTGTGAAATAAGGACAGCGATTTTTCTGTGATTTAAACTATGTACTTTGCTTTAATATGCACAAATAACTGTTTTTTACTCATTCACATAAAATTTTTAAAAACTATTGTTATCTTTAAGCCTGATTATGTTGGGTAACTTCCGTATTATACAATTCAATTAATATGTGTCAATTTGAACGGAATGGGTACATATATTGTTTACAAAGGAGTTTTAGCGAAGCATTCTGTGGTTGACGGTCACTTCCAACAAAAATGTCATTCAACCCATTAAAACTACATGGCTGAATTTTAATTTTCTGGGAAGTGACCGTCAACCTAAAAATCAGTATTCATTCAATTTATTTTTAAAGGCGTCAACTTTAGCTGATATTTTGAAGAAAAGTGAGAAAAATCTAATATCTTATTTAAATCGTTTGATTTTTTTGGAAAAATAGTTTTTCGTAAAAATTTCAAAAGAATTTGCTTCCTTATCAAAATTGGAGAGATTAGAATATTCTTATCAATTTTTTATGATAGAGCAATGCACATCGGTTTCTTTGGAAATGTTTATAGTAGGACGTACCGGATATAATATTCTGAAATGCCAATCAAAATGTTTTGAAACAAGTATAATCAGATATAATTTTGATGTTATATTCGAAATAATTTTAACAAAAAAAATAATTGTCAAGTAATCGAACTTTTTTTCGATTCTATTTGTTTTGTATTGTTTCAATATTTATCATATTGTTGATATGATAAAAATTTGAATTTTGTTCATAACGGCAACATTGGTTTTCTAAAGACGATATTTCGCTTTGACAGATTAGTTTTTGTTGTCGTCGGGGGAGGATTTGTATTTTTATCTCACAGAAAAGATTTTTTATTCAAATTTTATTATAAAAATTAGTGTAATGAATATATTAAAAATTAATTGAAATCTACTAAAATGATTCGAAATATTTATGAAAAATGTGATAAAATGAATGGAGAATTATAATGAATTTGTTTCGTGATATAATAAAGTAAATTTGCTTGTTTTGTGTCAATAGATACCGAAAGAATATCCTTATGAATATAATAAATTCGTCACCAAAAGTAAAAAAAAAATCCTAAAAACGCACCCTATTTTATTATTTTTTTTTAATCTTTCAGTGATCTATAGATTTTAAGTAATGAGACATAATAAAAAAAAATTATATTCGTTTTCATAAATTTGTGTAGAAACAATGTTTTTGATTATTGAGTCGAAATGGGCACAATCGCTTCAGTGCTACAATGGACTTGTACGAATTGCAACGTAATAAATCCAACTGAATCATTTAAATGTATAAAATGTGGTACGGGAAGAAAAATTGCTTCTAGTCCGACTACAACAACTTGGAAAACTCTTATCGATGACAAATTCGGTTTAAATAATTCGTCATCAATTTCATCCCCTACCTCTGGTGCTATAACATCATCAGCATCGTCGTTGTCTAATACAAATAACTTAAGTAACAATCAAATAAGAAAAACTGGTTCAACTGCACCGCAAACAACATTCGCTGGGTAATTTTGATAAAATTCTTATAAATATTACTGAATAATTATCATATTTTTTTATTTTAATTTTATTGTATCTAAGTATGTATATAAGAAACTGAACTATCGGTATGATATAGCAAATTAATTATTGCTATTTTAAAAGGGAAGAGAGTGGAACTAAAGAAGTTGCAATTAATAAATTCGATATTTTTCTGTATCATTAAAAAAGCGTTAGGAAGTTTAATATTTTAATTACATACATATCATTTAATGGGAAAAAGATTAGAGATAATACGAAAAATCAATTTTACGGCTAAGACTGTCATGTGTTTGTAAATATTGATTTATTCAGGACGGATAAAAATTAAAAAAAAAAAAAAAAAATAAATCTACACCCAGAGTTCTGTCAGATTTTTTTTTATTAAACCGATTCTCTTAAATTTTGTGGACTCAATTATTTTCACTAAAATTTTAGAGCACTTACCTTTTTGTAAATTCTCTTTCTGTTTTGATTCAATAAGAGAAAAGAGTAAAGAAAAATTTTTGAATATGCGTACTGCTATAATTTTAAGTGAAATCATGTTAAAATTAAGTTTATATGGGTACTTACCTACATACACGCATAAAATGTATTTTAGACTGTATTGCAAGTTTTTTTTGAAAAGATTTTGTTCAGGTATTCACTAACAACACATTATTTAAACATTTTTAGCATTTGTCCGAATGAAGCTTTTCAAACTAAAAAAACAATATTGATTCCATTAATATGTTATTCAATATACATATGTACATAAACAAGTCAATAAATTAATTTTCATTTATATCATATACTAACTAGAGTTTAAAGAACTTATTAAAGAATAATTCCTAAAAAATTTTTCACATATACATTTTTAGTCATTCCTAACAAATCTTACAAAAAAATATATAATTTTTAAATAATATATGTATGTACATAGATAATCAAATTTCTCTGGCCAGTATTGAAAATTTAAACTTTAGTTGTTCATTTCTCTAGAAAGTTTACTTAAGTATGATAGCTGCCTGCCTACCTGTGCATGTATAAAAAATTCAAATTTTTCAAAGTAAAGGTATTTGACCTTGAATATTATTTTCAAATAATAAGCAAAAAATAAAAATTCATGATCTATGTTAAATCAAGAGCAAGCCGGAATTTTTGCGATATTTTTTTTTTATTGCGCATCAGTATTATTATTCGATTAAAATCTTCAATATTTACAACTGATTGATTCAACATTTGTAAGTCATCTTTGAATTTTAATTTAATGTTCTGCTTAATATAACAAAACTTGTATCTATACTACTTACAAATGCCTCTGTAAAAATGTGGATTCAGAAAATTGAAAATTTAAACATAATTTTAAAAACTATTAATTTTATTTCATTATTTACAGCCTAATTGTGTAACTCGCCTTTTCGTCTCTCGATTTTTGTTAACTATCAAAAAGAATTCTTATTTTTTTAATTGTATATGTAATTTTTCCAATAAGATTAAGTACTAATTTTTTTGAATTTTAGTAAGTACTCTTTCTCAAAATATTATCTGAACCTGAACCTATTACCTTCAAATTGAATTAAATTTTGTATACATATATGATAGCCACTCATTTTCATTTAGCGAGTAAAAAAAACACGATCAGATAATATATTTGTTTTATGAAAAAAATTAATTGCCTCTTTCTGAAACTAAAATTTAAGATTTTCCTATTATTACCAATGTAAAGAATTGAAAATTCTTCAAATGTGAGAGAAATTCTAATGGAACTTTTAATGAATAGTAGGTTTTACATTTTAAAGAATTCAGGGTAAATTTATAAAAATTTCTAAATTCTGTTTTAAAAATTTACATTGCACTTGTATTTTACTTACTTGATTTAAGCGACTTGACTGACTGACAGACATCATCCACATTCCACAATCCATAATTTTTAATAATATCCATAATTAATTTAATTTTTACATAAATTAAGAGAACTTGACAGAGAGAGAAATAGCACATTGAAAAGAGAAATTTTTAAACACATAAAGGCAAACGGAAAGAAATAACCGTAAATATTTTTTTAATTTTCTTTCTCTGCTCACAATTTTGATTTTCCACAAAAGCACTTTTCTTTCTTTGTTTTTTATTTTTCTCTATATAGATAAAAATGTTTTGTTTGTGTATTTATGTACAGATTTTAATATTTTCCAAATTTTATTGTGCTATAATTTTTCTGTGTCATATGGTCGTTGGTCAGGCCGTCGTCGGTTCTATGTTGGTGTTGTCGTCATTTTTATTAACATTTTAAATTATTATTTTTTTTATTATAAAATTATTTATAATTTTCAAAAATTAATATTAATTTAATGAAGGAAAAACTCTCTTTTACAGTATTTTTAAATTTTGGTTAAATATATTGTACGTGTTACCAGTACATTAGAGAGAAAAAAAAGGAAAAAAAAGTGTTTTTATTCAAAAACAAAACTTTTTGCCCGTAGAAAAAAAATACATTTTTTGATGGTTATTATTGATATACGATATTATGTACATAAGTAAAAGTGTCCTATAAAAAGTATTTAAAAAGGAAGTAAGAAAAAAAAGTGAAAATAAAAATAAAAAAAATTAAAAGAAAACTATTCTTTTGAAAAAGGACACCTTAAAAAATTTTTTTTGTATTTTGTTTTGTGTCGAAATTCAAAGCAAAAAGTTAAAAAAATGAAATGTGAAAATTTTACAAATTCATAAAAAAATGAAAATGATCAGCAAAAAAATTTTTAATTAAATTTAAATCAATAAAATTTTCATACAAAGTAATTGTTTTTAATATTAAAATTTTCATTTATTTTTAAAAATAATAAAAAAAAAGAAAGAAAAATATTTATTTAAGGAAATTTTTTTATAAATTTCATTGGAAATTTTCTTCTTTCTGGATAACTAACCTTCATGTGAATTTCATCCCCTCACTTCTCATTTTTCACTACAAAAAAAAAACATTAAGGAAAAGTAAAAACAAAAAATTTTTTTTTTTGACAGATTGCAGATACATAAAGTGCTTACACTATGTATTTTCATTTGATAAAAAAAAAATTCCCAAAAAATATTTTTCCTTTTCGACTACTAAAAAAATTAAAAATTCCAAAAAAATAAAATATTTTAATTAAAAAGCAAAAATCATCATGAATAAATGAAAAAAAAAAAAACTTTTTTTTACGAATATGATAATTTATATTTTGTTACGAAAGTGATTTAAAAAGAAAAAATGAAAAAAAAAAATAAAAAAATTCAAAACAGTGATTCCGTTTTGGCACAATTTTGTTTTTCTCATTTTGTTTTTTGCTTTTATTATGTAGTGCAATCTACTATGAGTTTGGTTATAGTTAATCCATTTTTCACAACATTCCTTAAATTAAATGCTTGTTTTCTTTTCAACCAACTTCTATTCGGCAAATTGTCACATTGTTCGTTTTCTTTTGAATATAAAAAATAAATAATACAAAAATTTTTTTTATGAAGTTGAGATTATGTGAAAGTGAAAGAAATAATTATGTTATTAATTAAAAAGAAATAATATGGTTATCTCTTCTATTACTTACATAGCAATTTTTTTACTTATTGTGATTATATGTATATTTAACAATTATTTTTAATCTTATTATCTGTAAAAATATTAAAATTTCATATGCTTACATAACATACACTAAAAAATGCCACGATTTTTAGAGTATTATTTTGTCGTTATTTATTTTACATTTGGAAAAAAATAAATTCTTCTAATAGGTTGATTAAGAAAGACTTTCTGCAAAAAACTTTTTATTTGCTACTCCATTGATTATTTATAATATCGTATATAAGTAATAATTGTATATAAGCAATATAATAATTTTCAATGTTTTAATGGTTAAATATAAAAATACACAGTAATGGTAAAATAAAAAACATCCTTGTGAATAATCAAATTTTCACAACCTTAATAAATAAACCATTATTAAAAAGTGACTGAAATTTAATTATTGAGAAAATTTGCCTTTTTTTAAATAAATATTTTATATTAATTTAAAGTATTTATTATTTAAAGTAACCAAAATTATTTAAAGTCTAATGTGTTGTGAGTTTATTTTTGCTGATTTTATTTTTTAAAGTAGTATCATCTACTGCACAATATTTTTGACGGAAGTACTTACTCGGTTATTATTATTTTGTCAAAAAATAAACATTGTCTTTAATTTAATTCCAAATAAAAAATTATACTTATTTAATTTTATTTTCTATATTTAATTATACCTTAATGATTTTGATTATTTTGAGAGAAAAAAAAAATTTCAGTATAAGATTAAGTAGTAAAGACGAAAATTTAAAATGAGAAAAAAAGAATAAAAAAAAAGAAAAATAAAAACACGAAATAGAAAAAGAAAAAAGTCAGCAAATGAAAATCGATCAAGGTTATTGCAAAAGTAGGACTATAAAAAAAAGAGTAAAATATTTTGAGTTTCAGACAAAAAAAATGGTTTTTGTTTTTGTTCTCTTTTTTTTTTTTTACTAATTTTCCCTCTCGTTTTTGTTGTCATTTTTCTATAAAATTTTCTTCTCTCATATTTTTTTTTACGAGTAAGTAATTAAAGTAACATTTTTTCAATTATTCACAATAATAATTTCTTAAAATTGCTCTAAGTGCTTTTATTTTTTTTTACAAATTCTATTGTTACTCTTTCTTTTTCATAAAAGATACGAAGGAATTTTTAATTGCATATGGGGATGTTCACTATTGTTTTGTGAATTTCCCTTTTTTTATTTTTTTATTTTGTTGTTATTCTTTTTATGACGTATACTAATAATTACTTTTATAGAAATTATGACCCAAAACCTACATATATATGTACATTTAATTTGTATCAATATGGTATTCTAATTGATGATAGATTAATAATGATAATGCTGATGATTATGTTGATGGAATAATACTGATGGATCATTTCTAAAAGTAGATTTGAGTAAATTTTCATGAATTAAATTTTGTTATATTTCA